ATATATATATATATATATTTTCGTTTTTTGAGACAGCATCTTGCTATGTAGTTCAGGCTGGCCTTGAACTTGTGGTGATCTTCCTGCCTCAGCCTCTGAGTGCAGGAATTACAGGCATGCATCACCATGCCTGGCACATAGCTCATTTTCAGTGTTCACAAGTAGCCTTGAAATATAAACATGGTAAGATTATGATAACCTTTAACAGTGTGACTAGGGAGCTAGGCAAAAATGTTCACATATGGTCAGTTGGACTGTTTTGGAGTTAAGAATGTTGAGTTGATTCGCAGCTAAGAAAAAAGAGGGCATCTTCAAGGAGTGCATGAAATAAGAAAGCGTTTATCATACTCCTGTGTTTTAGATAATACCAGAGACTCATTTTACTCATTGGTGTCTCTTTAGCCAGTTGTTTGGTGAGAGATGTGGTACTATGAAGCAAAAAATCCTGGAAACTTTCATCTGGAATCAATTTTATAAATAGTATGTGATGTTCAGGTCTTATTACTTTACCCAGATAATAGACATGCTTTCCTCACACTACTTTAGACTGGTACCTTTGCCATAATTCAAGTATCTACAGATAACTTTCTGTTTTCAGATTCACTTTTACCATTGGTCTGTGTGACTACCCATATTGTTTTTATTATTGTTTTACAGGAAATCTTAATCCAGTACATTTTCCAAATTTGTTCAAAAGTTTCTTCATTATTCTTTCTTGGGAACTTTTCTGTATATCATTCTAGAACTAAATGTCAAGACATTTTAAAAGCTTATTGGGATTTTGGTATGAGATGCATTCAATATTGTGGGAAACTAAACTGATATAACTTCATTGAGGAATGATGAGGAATATAACTAATGATGTATTCATTACATTGTAACAGCAATAGAATATGTTGATAATGATGAACAGAGCATTAGAGTAAACTCAGTTTATGTAATGATGAAAATTTAGGATCTGTCATTTGATAACCAACAGCAGGATGATTTACAACAACTGTACCTTTAATTCCACATAAATAGAGTTAAAAATCCACTAGAGTTTCATAGACAGATCCTGGCTACCTGTATACTATATAACATTGTTACTGATGTTGTTTAATAATAAAATTAGCTAACTTATCAAGAAACCAACCAGTAAAAAATGCTGGCGGCATTGTGGGGAGATAGGAACCTTTCTCCACTGTTGGTGGGAGTGCAGACTGGTGCAACCACTGTGGAAATCAACATGGAGATACCTCAAACAATGAGAATTAGAAGTTCCATTTGACCCAACTATCCCTCTGCTGGGTATCTCCCAAAAGAGTTCAAAGAATCATACCACAGTGATATATGGTCACCCATGTTTATAGTGGCACAGTTTGTAATAGCTAAAATTTGGAAACAGCCCAATTGCCCATCAACTGGTGACTGGATAAAGAAGATGTGTGTGTGTGTTTAAAAAAATGGAGTACTACTCAGCCATAAAGAATGAGAAACTACAGATATTTATAGCTAAGTGGATGCACATTGAGGCGATTCTCTTAAAGTGAAATTAATAAGTCACACGTGTCAATACCAAATAGTTTTTCTGGTGTGAAAAAGTCAAAGTATAAATAAGGATCAAAATGTATAATTGATATTGTGTAATAGGAAGAAAAGATCTAACAGAGTAGAGGAAGTGGGAGGGGTAGGGGAAAGGTAAAAAATGAAAAGAAAAAATAGGTGAAGAGGAAAAACATGGAAACAATGTCTATATAAACAGAGAACAGTGGAGGGGGTGAAAGGAGGGCTGGGAAATAGGAAAAAATAAAAACCAAGACAGGTCATGCAAAGGTACAAGATCTCAATGATGAATGTAACTGTATTATATACTTAAAATATACCAATAAACTTAATAAAGATAAAAATTAGCTAATTTTATATTTATAAATGGGCTTGTTCCTTTGGGTTTCATTCTCCTTTCCCTTAACAATACATACTCGGGCAAAACTGAAATCCTTCATACTGAGTTCCCACATCCCTGTCACCTGAGCCTTTCCTTGACAGGGTTCCTGTACTGAGCCCTGTATTTTCACAATAGACTGGTTAGTCAGTTAGAAAGAGTTCAGATGAGCTGGAAATGCGAAGGACTCAATGAGAAATTACGTGGAGGTGCTGCTTTTGCCACAAAGATGCCTTCACCCTTGCCAAATGTGCTCCTCCTGCAGGGTACCATCAGCGGAGTTGTTCAGCTAAAGCTGCTTATAACGTAATCGATGGGAACACAAGAGTTGGAGGGGAGGCATTTTAAAGATACTGAATTCTCCAGTCCATGCAGGTGCAAGGTGTATCATTTCACCTCAAGAGTTTTTCTCTTTAACTGTGCTCAATTTCCAGGGAAAACTGCTGGAGCTTTATGGTAGGGTTAGAAGAAGCTGAAGAGACACGAGGCAGGATCATTAAGTACAATCACCATTTTATGTATGTAAAAAACCAAAAGCGTTAAAATATCATTTTATCACAGCAACAGTAAGGCCATCAAGGTCAGAGAGCAAGATGGATGAGTCAGGGGTAGGCAATCAAAAGCAGTATTTGGAGTGAAAAGAAAGCTCAGATAGAGATTTCACACATTAGTCTTAGCACCCTGTTGCATGAGAATAGAAAGATAAAGAACTAATACTAGGTGAATATATGTTCCACATTGATTTTATTTACCGATAAGAAAAAAAATTTTCCGACAAGTGAGCTACACTTGCCTGAAGTCACACAATCTGTGAGTAGCTGAGGATGAAAACCCAATGTAATCTGGCTTTAGTACCAAAGTTTCCACATTAAGTTACTGGTTGGGGAGAGTAATGGGGGATGCTCAAAATGCGTCAATTTCAAGGGTTCTTTCAGAGATGCAGATCAACTTATATACTTAAGATGGAAAATGTCTATATGTCTATATCTTTGTTGAATATACTCAAGCTACCTTTCCATCTTTGTATAAGAATTTTACGTGCAGTTTCCTATAATACAGTAACAATAAGCAGTGTTTTGTGTTGAATTTTTACTTAAGCTTTCTTCCATGAACTGTGTGGTTATACTTACACCAAACATATATTGGCAATTTCAATGTTTCATTAACATGGTATTATATGGCCAGGAGTGGTGGTGCACACCTGTTATCCCAGCACTTGGGAGGCCGAGGCAGGAGGATTGTTGTGAGTTTGCGACCAGCCTGGGCTACATAGTGAGTTCCAGGGCAATTTGAACTACATAGTGAGACCCTCTATAAAAAAATTATATTTTATGTTAAGAAGTATATAAATCGACAATATTCTATATATGTTTTATTCCATGGATTAATGAGTTCAAAACTTTAAAATCTTTACATGTTGTATCAAAAGTCCATTTATAGCTGGGCATGGTGGCACACACCTGTAATCTCAGCACTTGGAAGGCCAAGGCAGGAGGAGTTTGAGGCCAGTTTGTACTACACAGTAAGTTCAAGGCCTGCCTGAACTTCACAGTGAGACCCTGTCTCAAAAAAAAAAAAAATTAAAAAGTCTACTTACATAGTTCTTTTCTACCATCTTAGCTGGAAAAGTCAGGTATCACCACTCCAGAAACATTATTTACCTTGTACAACTTTATAAAGATGTTATCCCCATGCTTATCAAGTTTCTAGTAATTATTAAGGCCTGATCTAGTTCTGAAGGTTTTCCTGTGGTCAGTTCAGTATGATTTCATCACTGTGTGAATTCTCTGGTGCACAGTGAGCTGTGACTTCTGAATGAAGGTTTTCCCACATACAGCACATCGGTAGGGCCTTTCCCCAGTGTGAATTCTCTGGTGTAAAACCAAGTCTGATTTCTGAGAAAAGGCTTTCCCACATTCAGCACATATATAAGGTTTCTCTCCTGTGTGAATCCGCTGATGTCCTGGGAGATGAGACTTCTGAGAGAAGGCTTTCCCACATTCAGTGCATACATACGGTTTTTCTCCAGTGTGAATTCTCTGATGCCCAGTGAGATGTGATTTCTGACAGAAGGCTTTGCCACATTCACTGCATTGATAGGGCTTCTCTCCAGTGTGTGTTCTGTGATGTATGATGAGCTGTGACTTACGGGAGAAGGTTTTCCCACAATCAGGGCATTTATAGGGTTTCTCCCCAGTATGAATTAACTGATGAGTACTGAGTTCTGTCTTTCTGCTGAAGGCTTCCTCACACTGAGCACATTTATAGGGTTTTTCACCAGTGTGAATTCTTTTATGTATAATCAGGTGGGACTTCTCACAAAAGGCCTTTCCACATTCAGTGCACTGGTACGGCTTCTCTCCAGTGTGAGCTCTGTGATGTATAATGAGTTGCGACTTCTGGGAGAAGGCCTTTCCACATTCTCTGCATGCATAAGGTTTCTCTCCAGTGTGAATTCTCTGATGTATAATGAGGGGTGATTTCTGGGAGAAGGCTTTCCCGCACTCACTGCATTCATATGGTTTTTCTCCAGTGTGAACTCTCTGATGTATAATGAGAGACGATTTCTGAGAGAATGCTTTTCCACATACAGCACAATCATAAGGTTTTTCCCCAGTGTGAGTTCTCTGATGTACAATGAGATGAAACTTCTCACTGAAGGCTTTTCCACATGCAGCACAATCATACGGTTTCTTTCCAGTATGAATTCTTTGATGTACAATGAGCTGTGACTTCTTAGCAAAAGCTTTTCCACATGTAATACAGACACAAGTTTTCTCCTTCGTTTCAACATTCTGATATTGAATAAGAGATTGTTTACTGAGGAAAGTCTTTTCACATAGATTATCATTATAGGGTGTTACTCCATTGTGTAATTTCTCAAGATTAGAATTAGATACATCGTGGGTAGATGATTTTGCAGCATCAAAACTCTCATCTAAGTTTTTTCTTGAATTGCTTGTACTACAACTAGGTAGGTCAATACTTGGTCTTATATTCTTTTTGAATGGATCATATTTATGAAGTCTTTCTTTTGGCATATCTAGCTTTATGTACTCTTGCAATATTTTCCCCAATGCATTATATTTATGACTTGATGCTTCAAATACTGTTTTGCTACTGACAAATGTAACTTGGCTGAAAAGTTTGTCTTGATTTTCCTGAGATGTCTGCAGCTTTCCATCACCATGAAAGACTTTTAAAATGGGGTAAAATGAACTGTCCTTTGTTACTCCTTTTAGTATCTGATTATATAATGAAACAGCTCCCAAAATACATGATTGGGAGTTATGAAGGTTATTCCTCCTTTCTAAAAAAAAAAGATAAAATAAAAAAGATACCAGGGACAATTAAGAGTGCAAACAGAGGAACAAATGGATGATCCAACATAGTATATGAACTAAAAAAAAAAATGCATCTTAAAGTGCAGCCTAACATATGACTGGTAGAATATTTAAGGATTTTGAAGAGAAATTATTCATGTAAAATTTAGACTTGAAGAAGATGGAAAAGTATCTAGGTTCTTATTACTCTCATCTCAGATTATGCTTCTAGGATCTTTTCTTTCCACTGCTTTCTGAATAAAATCTTTTATACTTTCTGAATACTTTTGTCTTATAAATCATTTGCTATACATACTTAACTATTATCCTGCCACCGCTCCAAAGAAAGATCTCTTTTGTACGCAAAACTCTTTAAGTAAACCAGGTGTGGTGGAGCACACCTATAATCCCAGTACTCGGGAGGCTGAGGCAGGAGAATTGCTGCAAGTTTGAGGCCAGCCTGGGCTACATAGGGAGTTCAGGGCCAGCCTGAAATACAAAGTGAGACCCTGTCTCCAAAACAAAAACAAAAACAAAAACAAAACAACTTTAAGTCTCCTCTGTCTATTTTCCTAACAAGTATAACAGCAGAAAACTCAAGATCCTTCTATAGATTCAGTATCAGATTCACACCAAGAATACATAAATTCCACTATTTCTGATAAACTTTGTGCATCAGATAAATTTATCAAATTGCAGAAAAGCTGTGTCTTCCTAATGCCAAGATTTTGTTCATATATTTTATTTTCTATACCATTTTAGCCTTCCTTTGTCTCCAGCAGCCTCACCACAACTTACGTCATTCAGAACAGGTAACAGCTGCATTCTCTAAAAAATACCTTGTCAAATTCTGCTGTATCACTTTATTATTTTTTGTTGTTGTTGGTTTTTTTGAGACAGGGTCTCACTAGGTAGATCAGATTGCTCTGGAACTCACTGTGTAGCTCAGGCTGGTCTCAAACTCTCAGCAACCCTCCTGCCTCAGCCTCCAGAGTGCTGGGATTACAAGCGTGCGCCAACACGCCCGGCTCTGCTATACCACTTTAGATTCTGAATTTCTTTCAACGTGTAAAACATTTAATTGTGCACAGTCATGTATCAGGAAATTTTACCCTGTAAAATACAACCTATATTCTTAGAAAGATTTTGCCTTCAATCACCTTTAAATCTCTTTCATATCATAAAAAACATATAATGTATCTATCTAACATCTATCTAAAGAGCAAATAAATCAGAAATAGTTCTCCATGGAAAGGGTCTTTCAATTAATTACTGAATGTTTACTAAATGCCTACAAAGAGTATTTCTTGAATGCCTACTAAATTCTCAGCATAAGAATAAAGAATAGGAGATTTAAATTAGGATACGCCATAGCTTTAGGTACCAGTCAATTAAAAATCAATCAAACAAACTGATATGTCACTTTCTTTGTCTTTTACCTCTGTGATTTTCACCCAGGTAGGTCCAGTTTGGTACATCTCTCTTTATGACACACGGATCTTTTCCTTGTTCCAACTTGGAGATGACATCTGGTTTGGAAACTGGATACCCTATGAAATGAAATCGTGAAGAATCTGGATTAATTATATCAAAGGAAGAAGAGAAGGTACAATTTCAGATGGTTTATAATGAAGCTGTCCAGTTAGCTTTCAACAAAGTAATGTTCCCTACTTGAGGAGGTATGACAGTCATAAAAGTAAATATATGTCACTAACCACTTAAATACAGTAACTGATAAAGAAAAGCACTTGACTGGACAACTCTAAATTGTGCGAGGAAGCTATCCTTACCCATTGAGACCAGGTGACTGTAGTTCTCCAGCATCACATCCTTGTACAGGGTCCTCTGAGCAGGGTCTAACTGCTGCCACTCCTCCTGGGTAAAATCCACAGCCACATCCTTGAATGACACTAACCCCTGTAAGAGTGCATTCCTGTTCAGTCTGAAGTGATCATTCTTTACCATTTCTACTATAGTACCCAAAGTATACCCACACCTAGTTTTGCATTATAGTGTTTTTGATAAACAATGTTGCATCCGGTCTTAAGCAAAAAAAGCTAGACAGATCAGGAAAAGGGAAGCAGTAAACCTAGCTAGTGTACCTGGCAATTTAATAAATTGTAATGTATTATGATCTGGGTATCCCCTCTTCCACCCTCTGTGTTTGGAAGGTGACTGGATCACGAAGGTGCTATACTCATCCATGAATTAGTCTACTGATAGGTTTATAACTGACTTGCTGTCAGGAGGTGGAACCTGGTTAGAGGCAGATCACTGGGGGTGTGATTTAGAAGGCTATGCCTCTCTCCTTGGCTCCTTTGTTTTCTCTCCACTGCCTGGTCACAACGACATGAGCAGCTTTTCATCCACCATGGTCTTCTGCCATATTGTTTCTTCCTTGGCGAGACCAACCATGGACTATAACCAGGAGCCAAAATGAATCTATCTTCCTTATGTCCTAGGTGTCAGGTAATGGTTCTCAGTGATGAGCAAAGACACGAAGACAAAAGATAGCATCTGAACAACTGAGAGGAAGAAAGATTATTCAATGAATACTTCTTAAATGACTAAACAGCAAAGAAATAATACTGAAGCAATATGTTTTAGGTTGAAATGAATCTACTAAAATATTACATTAAAATCCTAATCCTTAAGTACCTCAGAATGTGACCTTACTTGGAAACAGAGTCACTGCAGATACAACTCGTTATATTAGGGTGGGTCCTACACCAAATATGATACTCTCGTCAAAAGGGAAAATGTGATACAGAGACAGACAAGCACAGGGGAAAAACAATGCAAAGACATAAAGATGGCCATCAAAATGCCAAGGAATGAAGCTTGGAACAGATTCTTCTTGAACAGTCCTCAGCAGAACTAACCCTGAAGATGCCTTGATTTTACACTTCAAGGCTCCAGAACTGTCAGACAATAAATGGCAGTTATTTAAGACACTCAATGTAGTACTTTGTTATGGTAGCCTTAGCAAACTATGGCTAATATACTCCATCTTACTTCCTTGAAAAACAGAACAAATATTCTCATGCAACAAAAATTTAAACTTTAAAAGTTCCAGAGACCACAGAAGTAACAGAAATGTTAGAAAGAATTTTTATTCATAATTATAAAGCTGAGAAAGAAACATTTAAAAAAAGAGGAAGATTTAATCCCAGCACTTGGAAGGCTGAGGCAGGAGGATCACTGTGAGTTCGAGACCAGCCTGGGCTACAAAGTGAGTTCCAGGTAGTGAAACCCTGTCTCAAAAAACAAAACAAAACAAAACAAAACAATCACCTCCCCCCAAAAAACGCAAAAAACCAAAAAGAGGAAGAAAAATACATTTAGGAAATCACACACACACACACACGAAAATCACAGAGAGTTCTTGAAGATAATTAATCAAAATCTCATTTTGGCAGAAAAAGATCTTTGCTTTGTCCAAACTTCACAGCTCTTATGCACAACAGTTAGTAATATAAGGAAATACACCAATTGCAATGGCAACAAAATGAAAAAAAAAGCCTGAAAAAAATGTACAGGACATATTCATGAAGCAAATATCTAAACAGAGCAGTTGGCATCAAAATAAAAGATTTGGTTAAGGACACAGCTAGCCAGTGTCTCTGGAGGGGCTTTGTCTACTTGAATCAATGTCATCATTATGTTCATAATCGTCATCTTGTTGCAGAAAGTAATCAAATAGCAGAATGGTTTGTTATTTTAAATTACTAGTTAATTGTAAGTTACTTTTTAGTATTTTCCTCAATATTCCATTATTATTAGCACTGCTTTGAGAATGAAAACTAATTAAATGTTTCAAATATCAACATTTCCTCATTTAAGAGCCTCTGTTGTTTCTCTCCTTGAACAGTTTTATCTCAATCACTTTAATTTTAAATTTTCTCTCATGCCATATCCAGTAGTATATATATACTATTAAGCTACCAAGAATTCAGTTTGACCATGACAGCACCACTGTTAATATTCCTAATTTACATATGAGAAAACTGAGGATTATAGTGATTAACTACTTGCCGAAGGTCATACGCTGAGCATATGACTGATTAACTTTCAGATTTACAAGTTCTACTGTGACTTGTTAGTCTGCTTTTTAACTACCATACTGCAAACTGCCTCCTGGATATTGTACACATGATCTTTCTTATTTTATCACTTCAATGCTCCACCCTTAGTCAGTCTCTCCATGAAGCAATCTTCACTTCAGTTTTTCTGAAATTCTTAGCCTTCCCAAAATTACCTTGTGTCTTTTACTTCTACAAATGTTCCTTCCATCTTCACACACTTCCTTTATGACCCAAAGCTCCATAATTGAACTTACAAAGCTGGTTGCTCTGCTATCTCTGTGATAACAGCACACTGTTCCTCTGTCTGTAACAGATCTGTTTTTTCATTTCCATACCTCTTTACCTCATTTTTCTCTGCAGTATTCTGTCTCAGGAAAGGACTCTTGTTGAGACAGTCACAGCTAACTAATATATATGACATAATTTTGGTGCTTAAGAAATGTTTGCTAAAAATGAATGAATGAAAATTACAAAAATTAAAATAAGTGAAAACTTCTGTTTAGTTAAAAATAGTTTTTGTAAATTGGTCAATTACATTCCTCTGATCTGAAGAGTAATAACATGAGAAAGATAACAAATGTGGAATATAGAAGAAACACACTTAGATGGAAAATTAATGTTATTTTAACATTTGCTTCATTGATGATACTCAAATGCTTCAATATACTAAGTAAGTATAAATTTTGTTAATTTTGGGAAAACTGTAGTGTATAATCAGTGGAAATTGGTTATTTTGCAAACATTTTCAATAGCATGGGAGACTTGGAGAATGGAAGTGCCATTTTAAGATGAAAGAATCGAAGAGGGTACATATTAGAGCTAAAAAGAAAGGCTGTGTGAAAAGTGATGACTTTACTTCTGGATGGTATAGGAAAAAAAAAAGCCTCCTTCTTAAGCAACAAATATTTAATCAGCCAATCAGCTGTTGTGGCCAGATCTATTGGGCAAACAAACAAAAACAAGCCGTTCTCATTCTCTAGTGGCTTGTGTTTAGATTCACCCCAAAGCCCCCCTTCACCCGAGCAGTCACAGGTGGGCCTTTTTCACAAAAAAAAGCTGGATCTATTGTGTGTGATGCTAGGATTGATTTATGATCCAATGCTAGGATTAAGGGTGTGAGTGCTATCTACTCTAAGGGAAGGTAGCCTGGATACAAGATGAGGGACAGAAAGAGGTTTGTTTGCCACTGGTTGCTTGGACTTGGTGCTTGGACACTTTTGCTTCCTGTGAGTTGTTTCTCCTCTGTGTTGCCCCTCTGCTGTGCCACCCTGCCTTGGAGCCAGCCGATTATGGACTAAAACCTCTACAAACTGTGAGTGAAAATAAACCTTTCTCCCTTTAATTTTGGGTGTTGGTATTTTGTCTTAGCAATCAAAAAGTAACTAAGATGGAATTTGGCACCAGAGAAGTGGGATCATTGCTATGGCATTACCTGGCCATGTGATTTAGGAGCCTTTGAAGCTGGCTTGTGAGAAGAGTTTGGAAAGGTTTGGAGATGTGATTGAATAAGCAGCCCTAGAACGACTTAAGCTGTACTTGATGAGACATTCTGCTTAGAGATCCAAAGACCAGAATGCTGAAAGAAATGCTGCTGGTAAAGATCAGGCTCAGGAGGTTTCTGCTGGGAAGGAGGACTACATTGGGTGTTGGACTCCACAAAATGCATGTATACCTTGTCAGAAAGTCTGTTTACATTTTGCTCATGTCCAGAGAGCTTTGTCTGAGGCTGAGATTAAGGAGACTGAACTAATTAATTAATATTGCAGAAGAAATTTCAGGGTAGTCTAATGTTGAGGCTGTGGCATGGCTAACATTGGGGCTTTTAGCCAAAACTATGTTGAGAATCAAGAACAAAGAGCCACGCAGAATGATTTAAAACATTTTGAGTTTGGCCACAAAAAGAAGCTCCAGTGAAGTTGCAGCCTGTGAAGATGGAACAAAGGAGAAATTGTACACTGAAAAGACTAGCAGGAAAAAGGCAAGTATTTCAGAAGAAAACAATAGAAAAGATGGTCTGAAGACATCATAAGAACCAGCAGGACTCCACCCTTTGCAGCCTCAAAATTGCAAAAGTGAAGGACTTTGCTTTAGAAGAGAGCCCCAGAGAACCACGTTGTAGAATGGCAGTGGCCTAGGGAAGTTGTTCCTTGAGATTTGGTTCATAGACACTGGACCCCTACAGCCAAGAGAGAAGGAAGCCTGACTAGTGCTCCAGCTGGTGGCTGACCCTGGCATCTTCCACTGGAGGTTGGTTTTAGGTGCATGTAGAATGCAAGAGTTGTGGGGTCAGGAAAGTTTCCACCCAGATTTCAGAAGAAGGCCTAAGAGGCCAGGCAGTGTGCCCCTGAAAAGGCAGTGTATGAAGCTATGAGTGTGAAACCGAAGGTGTAAGGGAGACCCCATATGGTTGAAGCGAGGAACGTGGATCATCTGAGGAAAAGTGCAAGGAGAGAGCAGAACAAACCCAAGAGAGAAGCTGTGGGAACTACAACCATCTGCAGTGCCTAACCCAAGTCTTTTGGAGGTACACATTTTTCCAAGGATTGTCTTGGATATTGGCAGTAGAACTACAGGATTTAATGTTTGTCCTGCTGAGTTTTGGACTTGTCTTGGTCCCATTCCCTTGTATCCTCCCATTTGGACCTTTTGGAGTAGAAATGTTTATCTTGTGCCATTGTAGGGTGGAAGTGTTTAACTTTCTTTTCACTTATGCAGGGGCTTGCAGGTAAGGAATTTGCCTTAAATCTCAGAGGAGACTCTGGACATGGACTTTTCAGCAATGCTGAAACTGTTCGGACTCTGGCAACTCTTGGAGGTAGGCTAAATGTCTTTTACATAAAGGGATGTGCATGAGTCTTTGGGGGACCAGGGGGAGAATGTTATGGGTTGTGTTTAGATTCCCGCCAAAGCCTCATGTGGGCATAGGTGGGGCTTCTGCAGAGGTGGCCGGATCTAGAGTGTGTGATGGTGAGATTGATTCATGATACAATACTAGGATTAAGGGTACTAAGATTAAGGGTGTGAGAGCTATCCACCTTAAGAGGAAGTATTCTAGATTCAAGAAAAGGAACAGAAAGAGGCTTGCTGCTAGTTGTTTGTCACTGGCTGCTTGGGCTTGATGCTTGGATGCTTTTGCTGCCTTCTGCCTGCCATGAACTGTTTCTCCTCTGCAATGCCCCTCTGCCAAGCTACCTTGCCTTACAGTCAGCTGATCATGTACTGAAACTTCTGTAAACAGCTTAAATAAACCTTTCCTCCTTTAACTTTGGGTGTCAGGTGTTGTGTCTCAGCAATGAAAAAGTAACTAAGATACTATCTAATAGAAATATAATGTTAACTGGAAAGGTCATTTAAAATTTTTAGGAGTTACATCAAAAAAGTCATCTCTGATGACATATTTATCCTAATATGTCACTCAAAAATATTTCAATTTGTAGTCTTTAAAAACTGTTAGTGAGTTTTAAAAAGTATATTTTCAAATTTCAATACATCACACTCAAAGCATATTTTACTCAGACTAACCAACTGTAAGTGCTTAATAACCACATACTAGTTGTGCCCACTGTATTGGACAACACAGCTCTAAAGATATTGACAGGCAAGAGAAAAACTCATCTTTTCTCAGTAGAACTCAGTTTTTAAATTCTTTAAAATATACAAAAAGACTCCTACTATCAAAGCACATTCAAGATTTGAGAACGATGATGATATAGTAAGAGCTAATGCATACAGTAAAACCCATGTCCTAGTTGCAGGGCTAGGCATGCTTTTTTTTACTCCCCAAATTTTCACAACAATCTTAGGAAGATTATAGTTGCTGTTCTTACATATGAGGACACAACCCCAGGCAGCCAGGCCACAAGGAAACATTTTACATCTGATAAAATAATAAAGGAGAATTCCATGCATTATATGAGAAGATAAATACAATTCATACAAAAACCTTTATACTGGACAGCAAGTTAAAAAGTGGGTTGTAGAACAAAATATTTATTGTAATAATATTTTCCAAAAGAAAAACAGAAGAAAATAAGAGATATTTCCTATTTGTACTTTCACATATAGTTAATTGCAATTATACCAAAAAAGATTGGGAAGATGCAAAACAAGTAATTAACACTTAGGAAGAGTTTAAGTTGAAAGGTCTCTCTGCTTTTACTTTTCTTTGCATAGTTTCTAGTTTTATACCATTGAATATAATGAATGCTGACAGAGAGAAGATAAAACTAATGCAGGCTTTTTAAAGTGGAAGAGTTTTGAAAAGTAATCCTACAAATTTGGAAGCACAACAAGGATGGGGCATCAGGGAATTTTACCCTCCAAAACTTTACCAGATAAATATAACTCAAGAATTGCTTTTTGAGAGAAAAATGTATTTTGGAGTAGCATTAAAAATGTGTCTATCCTATACTACCCAGATTTCATCTCTGGATAAAAGTAGACTGTAGAGCCGGGGATACAGCTCAGAGGTGCAGTGCCTGCCTGGCAAACGTGAGGACCTGAGTTTGATTCCCAGTACAAAAACAAAACAAAACAACAATAACAAAAAAACCAAAACAGACTGTAGGAAACTTCTATAGTGGGTTTCCTCCTCTAAGGCATGGGCCCACAAACTTTTTAAGTAAAGTACATATTTCTGGCATTGCAAAGCCACATGATTCTGGTGTAATACTTAACTCTGCTACAGTAACTCAAAAGCAGCCATTGAAAATATGTAAACCAATAGCATAGCTGTGCCTCAACAAGTCATCGCAAAGACAGGTGAAGAACTGGGTTTGGCTTTCTGGGGATAGTTTGCCAATCCTTGCTCCAAAAACTTGGACTAAGACTGGTATTTTCTAAAAACAGATAACTTAGAGACACAGTTATAAGACAACTACTGTTGTATTTACTAAAGGAGTGTTGAACACTATGTACTCTGTGACCTAGTGAAAGACCCAAAAACAAATTTTTCTTTTTAGTCTTACATGACAAGAAATATTTTCTTCCCATAAGAAATTTGTCTACCTGGGTTTAAGGATATAGCTGTCAATGTCTGTAATAATGGACATGAAAATTGATGCAACAATTTATAAAAATGGTTTCAAGCCAGGTTTCTACATATTACTCAGCAACTTAAAGTTATGATTTTTATTCTTACTGCTTTTTCCATAATCCAAATTTTAGCTACCTATACTTTACATTTGACTGTACGGAAAACAAAAGAGTTTAATTTTTAAAAAGCGGCTCACCTGGGACTTCATTCTGTGCTCTTCCAAAAGAGCAGATGCCTGAAAAAAAACAAAGCAGGTGATCAGAATCAGGTTTTCACAGCCCAGACCCATTCTGCTCCTTCCACATCCTAGAAACAATTTCCATCAGAAGTCAAGTGGATAATGACCTCCATAGGGGAGAAGGTTGTTTGAGCCTTACAGAAACATCAGCAAGCACCATTTAAAGAACGTGCTGACCAATCAGTTTCCCGCCTCCTTTGCTTACAACGTGATTGCTGATGATTATTTATTTAAAGAACACGGGCATGTGTTTTTAAATTGATGTAGAGACACATTTCCAGTTAATTTACTAATGACTTATTCCTCCTTTTGGGAAGCAGCAATTCTATTGTAGAACATTATCAAAAGAAAATAATTGTGGATAAATCCATAAAGATTTAACTGCAGATGGGAGTTTTCTGGTAACAAGAATGGTAGTTACTAATGAAAACCTGTGGAATCTTTCCCCCTAGACCCCAGAAAGAACCAGCTCAAATTCCAAAAATCTCCCAAGATCTCTCATATTCTCCCCTGCCTTAGCAAAGTTTTCTGTTGAATCAATATTCACTGTCTAACATGTTAATTTTAAGAGTTTTTGCTCTTTCATTGCTGAATTCAATAATGCAGTTGGCTGCATACAAAAACGATAAATTGGAATCACTCACAAAAGGGAATATACCATGATACAGGAAGGAACAAACCTGGTGAATATTTCTCATTTCCAGAAGGAGTCATGAGGAGAAGGTTGAACTGGTTCAGAGGAAGTGGGCGCTCCTTTGACAGGGAGGCTGATGATTAATATTTTATATGGGCTATACCAGGCCTTATCAGAATATATCTGGAAGAAAAAAATTAAAAGAAAGTTATATGAATGTCCATGCACCCAGTATGTGCTCAATAAACATTTCTTGTATAAAATATAAAATAATTTCAATGAAAGAAGAGGACTGAAATCAACTTTTCACAATATCCTATCCCCTTTGATTTGTTTGGTCCTGTTTTAAAATGATCATTATTGGGGGGCATGAGACTAAGGGGGCAATGGTAGAATGAGAAAAGATGTGAAGAGGGTTTTGACCTTTTAAGTACTCAAAAGTTGCCTATGACCTGTGAAACTTAATATAAGTTAAAGCCTTCCTCAGAAAATTGGGAATGACCACCATGATCTTCTGACCACAAAAGCGCACCTCCCAATGTTGGAACTTTTGGGCCTGGAAGTCACGTAACCTACACAGATGCTCTCATGTAGTCCATAGTGTCCGAACACAAATCACTGGTTCTAAATCACTGTACCTGGTTACCCCTAACAGGGAGTTCACCTGGTACACTCCATGCCTGATCACACAGTTACCCCATCACCTCATCATATCCCAATTGTTAATCAAATAGCTCAGTGCATCCTTGATTCCCAAATCAGCCTAATAGTAATTCATCATCTCTTACCTATGACCAAAAATCTATCATAGGCCCTCACTGATCCCTCCCCTCCAATACCAAGCCCACCAACTCACTCATCAGTGCACATGTAGCTCTTCTGAGCACCAGCTCGATTACCAGGCCCCGAGAAGCCCAGTACAGCTTAAAGGTGAGAGGGGTCAAGATAGCAGTGAGTTCTCTCCCGCTTCCTGTAGGTGAGCTCGCGCTGGGATCAGAGTCTGCGCTATTCCGTACTGAGCGCTTTGTTCAGGAGGCAATATGGCTGCTCCTAGGCACCTTGCCGAAGGGAGCAGCCATCTTGAGCCCTGACGGTTCCGTACAAGCAGCGGTGCCTCAGCCAGAATATGACTGGAAAGAAGACTACTTTGTCAGTAAACTGCGAACTTTTAAAGAGCGGTTTTGGAGGGTCAGGGGTGCACAAGTAGTTGGAGCGATACCATTGTTTACAGAAAGAAGATTTTGGTGAGAGAGGAAACATTTAGAATGGTAAACTATTCTTGTCAGCGATTCCAAGCAAACGTGTTCGTCCACGATGCGGTCCTCTCTCGGGAGATTCCACGGCCGGGGCCAAAATCTGGGGACGGAAGGAATGAGCGACAATAACCATCTGTAGTTGTGCTAACAACAATTATAAGGAATTCTTCTAGGGAAATTGTAACTACGGGAAAACATTTTAGGGGCAGACGGAAACTAGAGTCAGGTGAGGAGAACTGAGGAACGGAGAGGCGCGCGCGAGGGGCCGCAGCGGAAGAAGAAAGCGGGAGGCGCGGGCGTGAGGGGAGACTGGGTCCTGAAGGGCAGGAGTGGGGGCCTGCGGAGGACGGACGCGAAGGAGAGACAGAAAAGTGTCTTCAAAGTGAAGAAAGAATGTGAAAAGAAAGACGGCAAAAGAGTTTAAAGAATAATAATAACAACAACAACAACAACAACAAAAAAACCTGACAAGATTTAAAAAAGAAAGAACTTAAAAGATGCTGCAGAAAGTGAGTACTAAAATTTTTACCTTAAATGCAACACCTTATATTGAGTTTTTATACTTAAATTAACACTAACCTGATATTTCGTGTGTGTAAATGGTTACAATTCTGAGTCATAGTTTTTCACATAGGCCGTGATTTTTGGCATATAATTAAATAAGCGGCGAGTTTTACATTTAGCAATTCTACTTCTCATGTCAAATAAAACAAATCTGAGGCCGGGGATTTAGCTCAGTGGTGCTGTCACCTGCCTTGCAAGCACAAAGTCCTGAGTTTGATCCCTGGTACCAAAAAAACAAACAAACAAACAAACAAAAAACAAAACAAATCTGAACCTAGCAAAGGAGAGGCAGAAAGACTATTGTGGCGGTTGGGCATGCAACTCAGTGATTAGACTGCTTAAACTTGGTGGTGAGCTCAAGTGTAGAGGTCTGCTGGGAGCACAGGAGAAGCCTGACTAAAGATTGGTGAAAACAAATCAGAGGGTTAGAAATGGCTCTCCCAAAAGTGGGTCGTTAAAGTGAGGCCATGTGGTTGGTGCTGCCCTGAATGAGAATATTTCCCCTTCAGCTTCTCTGCAGTGTTGTGACGCTGCCACATGCTGCTGCCACGCTGTTCAGATCTTCCAAATAAGCCAGTTAATAAGCCAAATAGGCCTCTATTTTTAATAAAGTGTCCAGGCTCAGTATTTTGTTATAGGAATACAACAAAGACTAAGTCAGCTTTTTACATAGGAAGAATACAGTCTTGCCCTTTGTGGTTACACTGTTGTAAGCACACGCCAATCAATACAGATTGATGTAACTATGAAAGTTTAAATTGAGGTGAGGTCTCCATTGTAGAAGGTTTGGCAGTATCTAGCAATACTATTCCAAATTTTTCACAATTTGGAAGCTTGAAATTACATTTATTATTTCATAGTTTTTATGAGTCAAGAATATGGAAGTAGCTTAGCTGGGTGGTTTGGGTTTAGTCCCTGGGGTAACAGTAAAACCACAGACCAGGGCAGCAGTTATTTCAAGACATCCTTGGAGGAGAATATGCTTCCATACTCAGCAAATGACTATTGGCAGGCCTCAGAATATCAGTATCGAAGCTCACTTACATGGCTGCTTACAGGCCTCAGTTACTCTTCAGGTGGACCTTTCAATAGGCTGCCTCTTTATTCTTATGACATGGTGTCATCCCTCCTTCCAAGGCTGCTTGATGATAGGTAGCTATTTCTGTACAGACCAAGTGAGTCAAAGAAGAAAGAGAACACATGACTGAAACCACAATCTGTTTTGTATTCTACTTCTGTGTTTTGTTTACTAAAAGAGAGTCACTAAGGACACTCCACAGTCAAAGAAATGGGAATTGAGCTCTACTTCCTAAGGGAATGATTATCAAAGAACCTCATCTCTAAAACCACAACACTATGTAACTTTTACTTTATGATTCAGAGCCTGGCTTGAGGAATATATCTCAAATGTTTATTAGCAGAAAAAAAGTCAAAATGTTATCCATTGTAAGACTTTTTAATACTCAAAACAGCAAACAACCAACAACAGAGGTTTGGTTGTATAAATTATGGTATACACTTAAAAACATAGTACTGGGGGAGGAATATACTAATAGGATGTGAGCTTCAGGATATAATGTTAATATGTTTAAGCATAAAATAGGAAAAAAGTATGTTATAACTGTTTAGTTTTGTAAAATATAAAAATTAATGAATAGGTATATAGTGCATTCTCCATATTCACATTACTTATCTTCTATGAATTGGTACATAGCACATAGTGAACCATTATTCCAAGGGGAGTAGGTCACAGAGATTACAATTTTAAATCCTAAAAATGAGTTACACTGTTAAATTTTGTTTTACAACAGATAAAACAAGGTTCAGAAATGTTAAAGGAATTACCCAAAGTCACTTCCACTAACAGATGCCAGAAACAGACTCAGATCTCCTCCATCTAGTTATAGGGCTGCAGCTTCTTGTGTTCTATTGCACTGCTCCTTTTGTTTCCATCCTCTGGTCATTTCTGTGTCAGAGCTGAGATGTGCATGAGAGATATCAAAATTTTCACTGCTTTGCATGTATTGGCAAATGATTTAAAAATATCATAAATGTTGATTTTGACGTTACAGGTAAGTTTTAGTAAGACAATTTGCACTTGTGGGATTTGTGAATCATGAGGATTAACTATATACACATATGCTCACTACATATGTATATTTCCTTAAAGGTAAAAAATAATGGAAGAGTTAACCATCAAATAAAACACTATTAGTGGTGTTGTTAGTTATTACCCCAAAATTTAATGGCTTCAAATAATACACGTTGAACAAGATGGCAGTATAGCAGGTACTCTGATCATATCTCCCCACAATAAGAAGCATTTTGAGCTGTGCACAGATAGTCATGGGAACCTTGGGATTCAGATAGGAGGTTATGAAACTCCAGTTGACCCCAACATTTTAGCATACATGTTTTGAGAGTGTAGACCCAAACCTAGGTGTGAGATCCATGATCATGATGGCAGGTTCAAATCTGAAAATGGTATATTCCTTGAAGGGCTTAGCTACAACCATATTTGGCCTTGAGGCTGCTGCCAAAACCATTGAGCAAGAGGTCTGGGTGGAATCATGCACACTAGTGTCTCAGCAGCTAGGCCTGCTAATATCAGTTCTGGCAGTGGACCCATATTTACCTTGTAACTTGGCTTCAGTCACCCTTAGTTTTGTCTTAGGTTAATATTACTCACATAGGACCTAGATGGAAACTTGCCTATCTCTGCTACCTGCAGATATCCCATGTCAGATTCTGAAGGAACCCTGTCTCAGTTCTAGTCCCTCTCTACCACAGCAGGAGTCATCCTGCCAGTGCAGGGAACTGACAGATGCTTGTGCTACTGAAATGGGGCTTCTGACTTTTACCCCCAGAGGGGGCCCTGAATCTTGACTCTAGCCCCTCTCAGCTATGGTCTGGGAGAAATCCTGACTGTATATGTAACTGTGGAGTTTTATGTGCTAGTGTTTCCAGGTTAGGCTTGTCAACATTAGTCCCACAGCAGATTTTGAAATATCACTGAAGCCTGGTATTGGTTCCTCTCAGCTGTGGTTTGAGAGCAGTTTTACCCACCTGGAGTCCTTGCAACAGACATGTCCATCTGTATTTCTGTGACAGGATTGACAAACTATTCCATAGTGAATCTTCAAACAGCCCTCAATCTCAGATCCAGCCCCTCTTGGCTAAAGACTGAAAACAGTATGTCTGCCTGAGGAACCAAGGAGAGGCACATTTAGCAGTGTTATTGCAGGCTGATAGTAGAGTTGAACTCATTTCCATTGTGGATCTTGAAACAGCCTTATAAATTGACTCACCCTTTTTATTTGAAGGTTGAAAGCAGTCTTGTTTACCGGGGAACCAACCAGGAGACATGCATATCCATGATGTTAAGTGAAGATAAGCCTGAAGGTTTCAGTCGCAGCTCTGAACGCGGAAATAACCCTGTATCTTAGTCGTAGCCCCTCTTAGTTACCAACAGAGGAAGTATAGTCAGCCCAAGGGTCCACCCAGTAATCCAAAATAAAACATCTCAGAGATCCAGAGGAAGCCACATCTGTCAAGGTACATAGTAACAAGCCAGCTTGTCAACTGTGAAACCTGAAGTGGACCCTCATGTCAGCACCAGCACCACAAACCAAGTTCCTGGAAATAGAACAGTCCATCTAAGTATCAAGTAGAGTTTATGTCTAGTAGAGGCCCTAGTAACAGGCTCTCCAACTGTGGTCCCCACTGCACACCCAGCTTTAGCTACAAGCCCTGGATACAACTTCAGTCAACTGTAATCCTGGAGGCAACTTCATCAGTCTAGAAACAGAAGTAGGCTTCAACTTTTCAAAACCTGTCTGTAAAGACAGAGAGGGGTTTAGTCTTTCAAATGCACAGACCAACTGAGTGCAAGGCCAACTGAAAACAAAATATCAGGCAAATATGATAACACTAAAGGAAACTAATAAAATTCCAATAGGCCATGTCAAAAAGTGATAACATACAAATGGCTTGAAAAAGAATTGCAAATAATTGTCCTAAAGTTGCATAATTAGGTGCAAAAAAGAAAATAAACTAACTAAATACAATCAGGAAGCAATGCATGAACAAATGGAGAAGTTTAATAAAGAAATACAAATTGTGGAAAAGAACCAGAGAGAATCCTACAGCTGAAGAATGCAATGATAGAACTGAAAAACTCAATGTAAGGGCTTTATCAAGTAGAAAAATATTAATGAACTTAAAGACAGGACATTTAAAGTTAGCTGATTAGAAGAATGAAAAGAAAAAAGAATGAAGAAAGTGTAAGGGACCTATGGGATACCTTAGAATGGATAATATATAAATTATGGTATTACCAGGGAAAGAGAGAAAATGTGCAGGAGGTTATTTTAAGAAATATTATTTGAAAACTGTCTAAATGTCAGAGGAACATAGACATCCAAATCCAGGGATATTAAAGGGCTGCAAGCAAGATTAGTTAAAAAAAAATCAAACCTGAAACACATTAATCAAATTGTCAAAAGTCAATGACAAAGAATTTTGAAAGCAGCAAGAGAGAAGAAACTTGTCACATACAATGGATCTACCATAAGTCTACTAGCAGACTACTCAACTTTGCAAGCCAGGAGAATGGGATAACATATTCCAACTGGTAACAGAAAAAACTAGCAATAACAAAAAACAGGCAAGCAAGCAAATAAATAAAAGGAATAAGCAAAAAATGAACTTCCAACTAATAATACTGTATCCATCAAAAACATCTTTCATAGGGTCAGGGATTTATCTCAGTGGTCTGCCGCCTGCCTCACAAGTGCAGGCTTTTACGATTGATCCCTGGTACAAAAACAAAACAACAACAAAACAGAACAGAACAAAACAAAACAAAACAAAAAAAAAAGCACACACACACACATATTTCAGCAATGGAGAAATAAAGGAATTTGAAGACAAATAAAAACTAAGGGAGTTCATCACAAGACCATCTTTATAAGAAGTGTTGAACAGAATTCTTCAACTTGAAACAAAAGGATGATAAATAGTAATATATCAGTGTATAAAACTTACTGATAAACATACATCTATACATCTAGACATACATGTATACATAAGAATACTATAATATTATAAAGCTGCATATATTACAAACTATAGTATAAAAATTAAAAAACAAGTGTATTAAAAGCAGCTGTAGCTCTAAAAATTGGTTAATAGCTACACATTATGAAGAAGTGTAAAATGTGACACTAATGGTATAAATGTGGCACAAATAGAAGTAAACGTAGACTTTTGTATGTAATTTTAATGCATTATCTGAATTTAGACATTATTGTTATAAGATATTTTATATACGATTCATAGAAATCTCAAACTAGAAACTTCTAGGAGATACACAAAACATAAAGAGAAAGGAATCAGAGCATCCTACTACCAAACCAATACAAAGAACAAAAGAAAACAGGAATGGAAGAAAGGAACAGAAAAATTATAAAATAGTAAAAGTTAACAAAATGCAATAGTAAATCCTTGCATAGCAATAATTACTTGGAGCACAAATGAATTTGATTCTCCAGTCAAAACATAGAGTAGCTGACTGGTTAAAAAAACCAAAACAGAAAGCAGAATAGAATAAAATATATGCTGTCTATCTGAGCACTGTAACAACCCTCAAAGACTGAGAATGAAGGATGGAAAGATATTACAGGCAAGTGGTAAATAAAAGCCAGCAAAGGTAGCTGTGTTAATATAAGATAAAATAGACTCTAAGTCAAAATCTGAAAAAAAATGAGAAAGGAATCAGTTATTTCAAGATGAAATAATAATTGTCAAATTGTTATTGATAAATATAGAAAGCAAATATTAATGGATTTTAAGGGAGAGATAGACTGTAATATCACAATAATAGGGGACTTCAGTACCCCTAATTCAATAATGGGTAGATAGATCATCTAGATAGAAATTCAACAAGGAAGCACTGGACTTAAGCTATGCATTAGCCCAAATGGATCTAACAGACCCATGCAGAACCTTGCAATATAGAATACGCATGATACCTCAGTACACTAAGATACATCATGTCTTAGGCCATAGAACAATCTTAACACATTTAAGAAGATTAAAATCATGACAATTATCTTTTATAACTATATGATGAAACTAAAAATTAATAATGGGAGGAACAAAGTTGGAGATATCACACTACCTGACCTTAAATTTACTATAAGAATTAGGAATACTGAAGCAGAAATAAATTCTGCTTTAGATGACTTTAGGATCCTGGCAAGGCAGAAGATTAATTTTGCTATAATTTGAATAGAATGTACTTCTGCAAAAATAACAGACTGAAGGGAGGTCTACATCAGATTCTGGTTAAGGCAATGATATGGAAAAGATCTTCAAATACGAGGATGTAATACAGTGGGGTTCTACTTTCATAATGAAGCATTTGAAATGGTGCCACGGAAGAATTTTGGAGTGGGCAGAGTGGTAAGGCATCTCAGGACATAAAGAACAATACAGGAATGGGAATCTGAGTGAGAGTAGAAGATAAGACAATCTTGTGCCTTTGTCAGTGGGTAAGGTAAATGCAAATAGGAGGCATTATGGGGCTAACTCTGATGCTTTCTTGGATGTGAGTGGGTTCTTACAACTGCTTTACTCTCATTGATCCATGGGGCTTCTTTTCTTGCTCTTTGGGCTAGAATGACAGGGCTTCTGTTGGAGCTCTATTTGCGTTCTGTGCAGAGTGCTGATTTTTGGGATGCTTTTGAATCTGAAGCCAGAAATCACTGAGGGGGGGGAAGAGTAGGAAAGTCAACAGTGATAGTGACATAGACAGCTAAGTTAGAAATATGTAGGCAGTCAGATGGGGCTGGGCCCTGGAAGTCAAAGCAGAGGATGAAAACACATTTAAACTGTGGCTGGAGGTGCATCTAAAGAAGATCAAAGTTAAAATGGGCAGATTTGCCTACTTAAGGGATGAACAGAAGCTTGAGATTGTTGGGCTCTCCTATATAGACAGTTGCCTCATTGTGGGTGTGCCATCCTCCTCCACCCACTAAGACTAAGAAGGCTTTAGTGTAAGACTACACATTATTGACCAAGATTAATGATGTCATCCACATACCCTTGTTACTATTGGGCCAATAGTACCTAAGTGACTATACTTGTAATCTCATTGATTGATTATAGTTTTTACCCATGTTATACCCACCTCTCATGACTTCAATCTATAAAAATTCCTTTGAGAAGTGGGCTAGTTGGCAACCCACTTGGGACCCCTCTTTTCTCTCAGGAGCTGTCCTTATTCCTCATTCCTGTTCTCCAATAAATTTTCCTACCCTTAACCTCCATTGTTCCTTAGAATTCATTCTTTGACTTCAGGGAACACGAACTCTGCATATCTGACATCTAGCAGGTTGGGAGTTACATCTGTTTCCCTATATCATTAGTTCTTATTTTTGCCTTTCATTAGCCTGCTCTCATTTACTTTTTTAGAGCCCTCAATAACTGCTCAATGCATTCTGTGCAGGACTTTTAGTTACACCCAGTGAATAAATAGGGTGGAGTCTACCCTCTAGAATTTTCTTTTGAATAAAAGATCAGTGGTTTATATATTGTTCATCCAGAGCTCATTTTGTTCAGTTAACACAGAGCTCAAGATATCTCCTTTTTCCCTTAGCTCTTTCAGTTTACCATCAGGGATAAATGTGGGGGTAATTTAAAAACATTTATATGTACATGTGTTATAGGACCAGGCAAGTTGGAACCGTAGAGATGCACCACACACTGAAATGAATGGAGTCTTTTATTATCATAGCTGGCGTCCCAGAGTGGCTCATGCCTCGGAAAACTCTGGACAAAGGAAAGGCAGTTCATAGGGTCATTTTAAGGGCTCTTCTATTTGGGGAGGGCTCAGGGAGAGAGGGAGCACAACCGGACTTTCACAGGAGCAGAAGTTTGCTAAGTCAGTGGGGGTCAGGGGCAGTTTCACACAGTTTAATTAAAAAAAAATCACACAGGTGCAGGCCTTGTGTTTACGAGGTAGTAAAGAGGACACAATTGTAGACTTTCACAGGTGCAGGGCATACTGTTTGCAAGGTAGTAAAGATAACATAGTTGCAAACACACACAAGATGTGGTGTCTGTCATGCATTAACTGAGGGGACTCCCAAGGAGGAAGGGAAAGAGACCACTAGAGTGACTCAACTTTACACAAATGGAGTCAGGGTGGCTATCACACACACATATTTTCGGTAGCATAGGGGCATGGCGCTAGAAGAAGGGAATTCCTATCTCAGTGAGCTTGCATATACTTCAAGACCTATTTGGAGTTTCTTAGAAAGTTTCTTAACTTGTTTCACATATAAATTTTCAAATGGGAGGAAAATAACCTGAAAGGCATTATAGAAGCAGGAGTCTTGTGAAACTTCATTTTACACAAGTCTGTATCTATAGGTTTGTTCTGAAAGCGCAGGTAGCTCCCAAGGCTGTATGCCTCCATAGCCTTCTTTGGAGAGACAG